GAGATCACTGGAGAGCGTGCTTCTAATTTCTCTTTTGACCCGTCCGCGAATCCAATATTCGCGGGTAATGAGGAGGAAGTCATGTTCTCCCTGAAAAGATATTTAGATAAAACACTTCTCAAATGTGATCGGATAAACGAGCAAATTTGGGAGGAATTGTCCAAAAAAGGGATATGCACCTCGGACCGGACCAGAGTCAACCCTGCGTTGCGCAGTTCGCAACGGCACGTTGAGAGATCCTCAACGCACGCTGTATGGGCGGAGACACAGACGGCTCGAGCATGCGAGTGTGAATGTTCGCGCGAGAGAACGTGTCTAATCGGGCGAAACTGCGCAACGTGGCCGTTGAGAACTGCGCAACGCAGGGTTGACTCTGGACCGGACACCGCTGCTGGACCCGGCACCAATAAGGCAACGACCAGCTGCCGACAGTCCCTATCGCTCGCCATGGGTCAACTTCACTCAAGCCGTTTGTAGGTGTCCGACTGTGGTTCACTAGGACAGAAAGCGACTTTTTCGCGTTTCGCAGCGCGAAACATTTTTCGCTGCGGGAACCTCAGGTCCACTCATGATCAGCGGTGGACCTGAGTTCCCTGCAGCGAAAAATGTTTCGCGCTGCGAAACGCGAAAAAGTCGCTTTCTGTCCTAGTGAACCACAAATTAGGTGTCCCACCATATGCATATTCATGTTTCATATGACAATGAATATAAGGTGGATGTCAGACTCGTGTTTGTGCAATCGCGACAGCGGCAACATGCCCAGCTTAAACCATACGGATCAATAACACAACGTCCCACTCGGCTATTGCGCGGCAAACGGCCCAACGCTATTGCGATTGTGCAAACGCTGAGTCTGACATCCACCTAAGGGATATGTGTAGTGTATGAATGAAGGATCAACAGAAACTGTTAGTTGGAGTATAGTAGAGTATGCTCTCGGTAGATCACCACCCACAGCAAGATCTAAAAAACAATCCACATCTTAGAGTCTGAGTGGTGTGCCTACACTACTCAGACTAACTTGAACCTTGTCAACGATGTGACTAACAAAACGAACAATTGAGCAAAATGCATACCCAGTTTAGCAGGCTAATTCCAACAGAGAAAATTATTGGGGTCAAACGGTGATGAGGATACAGGTGAAAACAGCATTATGACTCTGCCGTGTGGTCTTATCAAGAAGTCCGTTGACACGCCCACGCAGACGCTGGGATCTGGGGTGTACGCAAAAGTTGGAATATATTATAACAAACGTACTTGAGAGTGGCGAGTCGTCCGGTTCGTCGCTCTTGCAGACTTCGGCCTTCTTCACGAAGTTTATCTTGCAACAGACGTCGATTTATAGGAGATCCTAAAACACGTACATCAATCTGGAAGGAGACAAGCTTAAAAGCTTACAAAACTTGTAAATCAGCAGTTCATTACCTATAAAGGAAAGCACTACAGGAAGAAAAATGAGTCCATGTAGTGCACCAATAATTACAATTCCCAAAAACATTCGAAAGTAGAAAACCTGGAAAGTGGTAGTAAAACATCTAGAAGATGACTTTTGAGAATAAAAAATTACTTTGAAAATTTGGGAATGTGCGAAGGCTAACACCAGCGTTCCTCCGAGCATTGTTAAGGTGATTCCTGAGAACACCTAGAAAACCGCCAATAGAACAGATTAGCAGCAAAACGAATCAAGAGACTTACTGTGGATCCCATTTGCGCCAGCGCTTCTTCGGCCCTCTCGATACGAGTGCGGCGAACAGAATGCGTGAAAATCCGTATTATATGAACGATAAACTCCACAGATATTCCTAGCGACTGTAAACAAACAAATGAATAGATACTTAGTCGTGGTACTTTACACCAAACCTAGCACGCTTCGCAATGCATTGTTGTAATAGATGAATGCATAGTTTTGTGGCATTGACCCACATGCTCAACCGTACTACTTCGCGCGCCTTTGATAGGTTGGCTACGGCGCGTCCTATGAGATTTTTGGGTGTCCCCAAGAGGCCCGTCGCGCGGCGAAGGAAGAGACGCAGACGCGGCAAAGGACGAGTCGCAGCGCATACTGTAGCGGTTAGGCGTCAGGTTAAATAGAGTGTACCATACTACGTCTCATATCGCACAGCACGCGCTGCGACTCGTCCTTTGCCGCATCTGCGTCTCTTCCTTCGCCGCGCGACGGGCCTCTTGGGGGACACCCGAGAATTTTTGACAGCGCGGGAGAAGCGCGATTTTGGGTGTGAAGTAATAATGTGTAGGACATGGATGACACAAAGTTTTAGCAATATCCAACGCGTAAAGTTATCCAGGATGCAGTAGTTAAATTCCGATCAAGACGAAGGGGACAAAAACAAAGCAAATTTGAGTTGCTTATGCCGCAGAAAACGTTAGGAGCTTTTTTACGTGTTTATGGGAATAAAACGAAAACGAGAAATGAACAGAGTGAAAAAGTGGCTCCCAGACAATACCTAACCATTTGGGCGCGGCCGCGGCGAACGCGGCCGAGTCGATTGTGCCCGCGAACCGTTGAAAACGCACTCGAGGTGCCCGCGAACTGTGCTGTGCTGAGTTCGCGGGCACCTATCAACTCGGCCGCGTTCGCCGCGGCCGCGCCCAAATGGTTAGGTATTGTCTGGGAGCCTGAAAAAGTTTGTAAGGCTTGGAAAACTTCTGCTAGATTTAAGCATATCTAACCATATTGCAAATTCGTCGTCTGTAGCCATGTTATGGCATAATCTATAGAATGAATGCAAATAATTTTGGCAGAAGTCGCGCAAGCGCGAGAAGAAGGTATGACATGAGTTGGACGCGCAACCGCTTCACAATGTCGCATGCGGCTCGCAAAGTGAGACGTTCGACCATATCCCGCTACGTCAATGTATTAACATAACGCGCAACTCCATAACAAACAAATTGAGCGACACGATTTTTCTGGAAGGCAGTATTTTGCGTATGGTGCAATACACGATACGCAGTGTGATACCAAAGACTATTTTCAATCAAAAACTGTTCATAAATCTTCAACACGATATGCAAAATCAAACAAACCATTACTAAATTCG